TCTGTTTTTTGTTTTTATGCATACAGAAACACTCAGGAATGTATAATCATTTAAACAACCAAAGGGCACATTCTGCAAGCCTGCCTCCTGGCTGCCAGCACACAAGCCACCACAGTACGAGACACTGACAGACGAGTGACGAGTGGTAGAATTACCATATGACCTATCAATGTCTATGCTAGGTATATATCCAGAGGAAGAGAAGGTGGGAGCATGAGTAGAAACCTGTACACCCGTGTTCACTGTAGTACATTTCACAAGAGTCACAGGTGGAAACAACCTACATGCATAAACAAAATGTGATATATACACACTATTCAATCAGAGAAATGAAGTTCTGATGCGCCACTTATCGATTGACATTAAAAACATCATGTTAGCATTTTTAAGTGTAAAACTCAGTTACAATAACATTTTAAAAAAATGTTTTATTGTGAATTATGTGATAATTTACATAGGAGAACATTAGTTTTACATTCATCTTATCGTGTATCGTTTCATTGCCTTGGTTACAATCCCCTCCATGCATCATCAACCAACCAAAGGGTATATGCTACAAGCCTGTCGTTCCCTCCCCCAACCAGTCGTCAGCACACAGCCCCTCTCCCTCTCTGGATCTAAAGTCCCTAACTGCTTTAGCTCTCCACATCATCGTCTCTGTCTCCATATTAGGCATCACTGCTTCTCTGGGTAGGGTTTCGACAATTACATTTTTAATGTTGTTCAACCATTGCTACCTATTTTTGAAATTTTCAATGCTTCAAAAAAAGTCTGTACATATTACATAGTAACTCCCATTTCCTCTTGTTTCATCCCCTGGTAATCTCTAATAGACATTTTATTTGTAGGAGGTTGCTTATTCTAGATATTTTATATAAGGATACTACAATAATTTCCCTTTTGTGCCTTGTTTATTTTATTATTAGCATTATAACATTATTAGCGTAATGTTTTCCAGCTTCATTCATGTATCATAACTTCAGTCCTTTATGTAACTGAATCATATTTTATTATATACATATTTTACATTTGTTTGTCCCTTCACCTGTTGACAAACTTAGTTTAGCTTTTCCTTTTGGCTATTGTGAATAATGCAGCTGTAAACATTGGTGTCCACATATCTGTTTGAGCCTCTGCTTTTAATTCCTTGGTTATACACCAGGGGTGAAATTCTTTGCTTTGATTTTTGTGCATCTGTAAAAATTTTTTCCAGTGTCTACAGCATTATACATTTCCACCACTGATGTACTAGGGTTCAAATTTTCTACATCCTTGTTAATACTTAGCTATTTTCCTTTTTAATCGTCACCCTTGTATGTGTGAATGTTGTTGTTAAGTGTCATCGAGTCAGTTCCGACTCACAGTGACTATGATTAGCATTTTCGAAGAGTGGCTGGTGGGTTTATATTTCTGACCTGTGGTTCAAACTGACCTTGTGGTCCAGTGCTTATCTTACAGTGCCACACCAGGACTCGGGTATCTTATTTTGGTTTTGGTCTGCATTTTCTTTAATGAATAATGATTTTGAGCATCTTTTTGTGTGTTTACTTGCCATTTGTCTAATTTCTCTGGATAAAATCTGTGCAAGTCCTTTGCCCATTTAATAAAAAATTGGATTGTCTTTTTGTGGCTCTGTTGTAGAAGTTCTTTATATATTTTGGAAATTAAATTGTTATCTGATACATGATTTGGAAATACTTTCTCTTAATCTGTCAGTGAACTATCA